GGAGGCAGAAGAAAGGGGGGGGGGCACAGACTCGCCCAGCCTATCAGAGAACAGGTGCCCATTTCAGACATCAACAATCACAGAGGCGAGCTAACGTAAGTTATTGCCAACTTGTTTATAGAGAGACGCAAAACACACATCAATAGGTGTGCTGACAACATACCGACTGACTACAGAGAGCTACGCCGTGCCCTCCAGAAACGTAATGATGGATTTACTCGCAAAAATTATAAAAATCCGAATTTACGATACTGATATGGACACGACTGTGTGATGCCTAGGCACACATAAATAACTCGTATACCAATCAGCACCCCTACATGTGACCGCTTCTAGTAAAATCATGATATTACTCACGGATAACAGAACCTCCGTGAAATTACTCATCAGTCATGAGTTCCAGTAATTCCAGGAACGCATTCACAAACTTCAGCAACTCCATAAAAATATTCACAAATTTCACAAATTCTGTGTAATCAATCACGAATTCCAGTAATTCTGTGAATGCACTCGTGGATTCTACTGATTCCATCACCACCACAATTCCACAGTACTAGCTACACGGTAATAATGCAACACACTTGCAACAAAGTGCTTCAGTCCCAAGTGCCAAGCCGCCAGCCATTTCCTTATCACAAACTAAAAGTAGTGGCATATTTGTGCTGGAGCCCTCTACTCTGCCAACCGTGTAAACCAGTAAGAAACTGCAGCGCTCCGAGGGCGTGCACTAGCAGCACACATCTTAACATGTAACGTTTTACACTGATGGCAGCGTACTGGAAATCACGAGTATTCAGCTTCTTAATACCTGGGTTGTGACACACAACTGGCTCCCAAGGGGCTTCCAAATGACTTTCACAAGTTCCTTTGTTGACTCACAGTGGCTGAAGCCATGGGTATACAAACTAGCGCTGCGACCAAAATTTCAGTCAAAATGCTATTCTCACAATCGGAATTCGCGTCATTGAACTACCAATATGACAAGATTCTGGATTTTTGGCTTAGCCACACGGCCAGAATTTAGGTCATTGAGCTAGTCTCACAACCAGAAGATGGGTTGCGAGCTCTAGTCACACGACCAGTATTTGGGTTGCTGAGTAGCACCACGCCCCAAATCCTGGCAGGTAACCCTTACGACCACAATTTTCCTTCATTGACTAGCTCGACGACCAATATTTGGGTTGCTGAGATAACTTCAACACCAGAATTTTGAATCAATTGGCTAGCCCCATGAACGGAATTTCAGTGGAAACCGACTAGAGAACCTTACAATGAATCTCGAAAAAGAGCCAGCTCACACACTTGATGCTAATACTAAGAGCTAACATGCAGATTATTACAAAAACGGTCACAGTGACAATTTAGTTTAATCTAGAGGTAGTCCGTGTAGTACATGCTCACGACGATTGAGGTAGCATTTCAATGGAATACAAAAAAATACTCAATGCAAATCACCTGAGGTACCTTAGTAACTGTAACACTTGCTGTGCCTTTGACACAACCCTAATAAATAACCCGCAGTGCCGCACACCGACGAAATTTCTCCATCCTCCACGCTACAACTACACAAAAATTCTGCTTGATTTCTAAAACTGATCCCCTTGCTGGTGTCATGACAAGCAGCCCGTCTAAAACGGGTAGAGACACCAGTGTTCAAAGAACGCACTGCAATCCAGTCCCGTGTACGCGTCTACAAAAATACGAACGTGGGCAAACTGCACCGGAGAATTTGTTCGTAGTACCTCACATTTGTGCAGCAATCAAATAGCACTACGCGCAATAAGCTACACCGGCAGCACTGCATGTATGTTTTTACATCACGTAGCATGCGAAAAGACCAATGCCAGACAATGTAAAAGCAATGGCGAACCGTGCCCGCCCTACACAATCAAGTTTTCTGTCAGTGAGTCCATAGGCAAACGATCTACCTTGTGGGACGCTGACTGCTATCCTGTCACCAGACACACTGAAAGTGGTAAACACCTTCACATATTGTGCATGCGATTGTAAAAAATTTAACCCAAGGAGCGAATTATTTGAGAAATTCAAAATGACTTTCCTACCCGCTATCGATAACTAAAAATAATGTATATATAGATATGTAAATATACGTACGTGCATGTAGTACGTTTTAACTAGCACAAAATGAACAAGTAACCTTAATTATTGTATCATCATATAATATTGAAATCTGCATGCACTTAGTAATCATGAGCCATCACAAGCAGTATAGATATATTTGTTTAACTTTCGTAATAACTCATTTAGCATGAACACAGCTAAAAAGTAGATAACTGAACTCTATATTGATGGTCTCTACAGGCTAATCATCACACGTATACAGATGATCTCTTCTAGTTCTGTATTTAAATACGATTACACAAGCCAAGGGAACAATTCCAGTAACAATTTTTTTATGTGACAGCTTCTAGGAAACCAACAGCAGGACCAGCTACACTTACTGGCACACCCATTATGCAGTAACAGGAATATAGATGAAGTCGTTTGCTATATAGTGACAAACTACTAACGAAATTACCACAATATTAAAGTGATAAATTGCTCAAAACTCCCAATATATGCTATAACATACGACTGGCCGACAATAATGCACAAAATCACATTACAGTGATATATAATAACAGTTATAAGTAAGGAAACCCGTTATTTTAGCGATCCGATTGCACACAGTAAACCTCAAATATATAATTTTATATATGTGTGTATATAATTAATTATGTATACATGTATATAGACATAGGTAACATATAGGTAATAAAACAACAGAGAATTGGAGTGCATTTGACACACAGAAATACCCGCAATGTTTATGTGGCTTCAACCTGAACTGTGCTCGGAGTCATATCACAACAACTGTTTAACAAGTGTGATGAACGAGCGCGCAAGCACGCACACGCTACTGACACAATGCACAGCAACAGGTTACAATTAAGTTAGACGACCTACACACTTGCAAAAAACGGTGCACACAGAAACCGAGCAACAAATGACGTAAGCTGTTACGCATTCACACCTTCAGGTGTCGGCACAGTAGAGCCAGACTTAGGCAGTTGGAGACAAAATGAGACAGTAGATCCAGCAGTCATCTGTCACCTCTCCACATGGACGCAGTTTTGCCACCAGGTGGCAGCACAGTGTAGAACAGAGGTAGCACATTGTATACATATCAATGTTTGGCATGCACAGCATTCTCACCAGGTGGCAGCACAGTCTAAAACACAGTTTGCACGTATTATAATAACATTTGGTATAGAGTGTTGCCACCAGGTAGCAGTACAGTATCAAACAAAGGTAACACAAAGTAGGAATTATAACAACGTCTAGGATGCCCACCTGCATTGTCACTAAGTGACAGCACAGCATGGAACAGAGGTAGCAGGTTTTAATGCATGATAATGTTTGACACGCACAGTGTTACCACCATGAGTCAGTATGGCATTGAAAGGAGGTAGAATATCGCCTGTGTTATGACACCCGTTACACACATTGCTGCCACCTAGTGGCAGCACAGCATGGAACAGATGCAGGATGCATGCAATACAACGACATTCGGCACATGCGGAGGAGCCATTAAAGTGCCAATGTAGTTTCAGAAGCACTGTGCGATGCTCATCGCAACAACAACACTGATAAATGACTTCTCACACACTACTCTCTCAAAAGTGCAGCATCTGGTATCTTGTGCCCTTTCACTTACTTTACTAGCACACATTGTTGTTACACCAAGCACCATCAACACTATCCACACCACGTACAACGAACATTCCTTCGAAAAGGTTCCTGATACCATCCCTATGCCTTCCACTGTTTCGGTGCGTATGTGAACACATTTGGGACTAACAGGGTTTACTAGAATCCCACCACTCCACCACAAAGTCACCGCAGTGGACGTGAGATGAGCGCTGTCGCTCTGCGGCACTTGTTTAAATATTATTCCGTAATATGCACGTATATACTTATGTAATTACTTATATAATTAACTTGCAGGTAGAGAACACTCCTTAAAGGTCAGCACAGATGACTGCGAGTACTTCAAGAAAATGATTCTTCCGAGAGCAGTTGATTCCATGTTAACACATATGTAGAGAATATGCAAAAACTGTTCATCATATAATTGAATGACAGCAAGAATATATATTTAGAACAACGTTAACTGTTGGTCATTTTTACTATCAATGTTCGTATAGATAGGGGCATGTAGTAATTTATTTTAATACAATTATGCCAATTATACATATAATATTTGAAGAGATGCTTTCGTGGCTTAGTGATTAGGCCACGTATACTGTCCACTGAAGGCTGAGTTCAATCCCCGGCCGGGGCAGTGAATTTTTCTCAAGGTGTAAAAACCTGGCTCTCAACATTGGAGACTGTGAATCTCCCGTGGCTCGGATGACCACGTAAAATGGCGGTCCCGTCTCCAGTAATACGAAAGGCCAACGGGGACGTAAAAGAACCACTGAGGGCGCAAAAACAAACTCTGGCTGTGACCACACTCAGTGACATTCAGTGCCATTCGCTATAGCTATATAGCGCTGTTGGCGGACAGTTTACCCCTGATCTGTAATAGTCCGGGAGCTAGAAGGGTCCACCGTGCACCCCCCCCACAAACCTCCGAACCAATATTTTTCTGAAGCCCCATGACGCCCTGATCACGAAAATAAATGTTAACATTGCGTAAGTTGGGACGAACTTCCGGTTATGACGTCATCAAGATGGCCGCCATAGTGAAATTTACCAAAAATCATAAAATCGTTATTTTTCGATCAAATTAAACAAATGAGGTATCAAAATGACCGCAATAGAATAACAAACAGATATATTAACAAAACAAACTACTACAAAAAGATTCATTTCCAGAAAAATGAATTTATGTCGATTTTGATTTCAATTTTTTGGTCAAATTTCTTTCAGAAAGCAAACAACCATAGTCATGATTCAGAAATGGTTTATTCACACTATTGAGAACGACCACACACTATTTTGTTCATATCATGTGTATCACAACTGTTAAAATATCAACAGTCATATCAACAATAATTGCCGTTTCTGTAAGTAGATAATAGGGAAGGAGTGTGACTTTAATAAACAAGGAAAATTCGTCATTTACTAGCCTTAGAATACCTACGATTTACTACGTGCAACTCACCAACTTGAGCTCAAATCGTACACACTGTACATTCGCCTAGCATCGTGCGAAATCATTTCCTCGTATACACCCGCAATCCGGAGATACAGACTAAAACGTACGACACGATTTTTCATTATGTTGCCAGCAAACTGAATGTATAAACCGCCTAAATTGAAACAAAAGGCAGCTCTTGCGCACTTGCTCCCTCGGCGATGCGGTGTGGCTCGCTAGTAACTGCCTTTTGTTTCAATTTAGGTGGTTTATACATTCAGTTTGCTGGCAACATAATGGGAAATCGTGTCGTACGTTTTAGTCTGTATCTCCGGATTGCGGGTGTATACGAGGAAAACGATTTCGCACGATGCTAGGCGAATGTACTGTGTACGATTTGAGCACAAGTTGGTTGAGTTGCGCGTAGTAAATCGTAGGTATTCTAAAGCTAGTAAATGATGAATTTCCCTTGTTTATTGAAGTCACACTCCTTCCCTATTATCTACTTCTGATATATATATCAAGAGCTCATAATAGAGAAGAGTATGACACCGTTTTAACAGCGTTTTCCATAGTTTTCAACTTGTAAATATTACAATGTTTGTTATATTCAAACTTTACCTTGTTTTTGTCTATGATTCTCCCTTAATTATGTGACACCACCAATTTACCTGAAAATCGTATGTGTTCTTCAAAAAAGTTATTTGGATACAACATGGTTTCACACAGTTTTCCCAAATGTTGACATGTATTCGGCGCATGTTGATATGCGGCGGCAGCACCAGGTTGTAACTACGGGATGCTGGGGGCTGTTGGGGATATTAGGTAAGCACAGTAACAGCACTTGTTTCACTTCCTTATCATCTGGAACACGATGGCAACACAGCTAAAATCAGCTGCTAGCTCGCCGTGAGCACACATATATTTCTAGCACGCCGGAAACGCTACACGCTGAATACAATTCGATGCCTAATATCCCCAACAGCCCCCAGCGTTCCGTCATAGACAATAAAACACTAATCCGATAATAAACTTGCGCCGAATACATGCAAACATTTGGGAAAAATGTGTGAAACCGTGTCGTATTAAAAGAACTTTTTTGAAGAACACATACGATTTTCAGGTAAATTCATGGTGTCATATGATTAAGGGATAATCATAGACGAAAACAAGGTAAAGTTTGAATATATTTATTCACATATTGATAGAATATTTACAAGTTGAAAGCTATGCAAAAAGCTGTTAAAATGGTGTCATACTCTTCTCTATTATAAGCTCTTGATATATATATATACACATATACATATATAAACTGTAACCCGTTTGCGTTTTGAAGGTTAGTTTAAATTGCGAATGCAGAGCAGATACTGTTGAAATTGATAGCATTTTCAACCCTCCAGTTTCAACTATACCTGAGTGCAGACAGAAGGCGAGTGTGTCCCAACTAATTAATGAAACCCCACCATCTTGCACAGGTGCACACTACTTACCCAAGCAGACTTGTGCATGCTACCTGGATGTTTACAACACTACTGTTCAGTTTATTGCACTGCTGCTGAGGAAGGGGTGGTGAGAGAAATCACCATCATGTGACTGCCTTTGTGTTAAACACGTGGACGCTGCATAGCATACCTCGATACAAAACCATTGCAATCAACAGCTAGGCAGATATGCAGACACAATTGTAGCAGACTGTAAGGTACTTTAGGAACTTGATGTACAGTTAACATTTATTGCCAAAATTCTGGGCAGCTGCAATCCACACAGTGATCACGGTGCAATATTTCCGTATACTTGGACATGCTTGAAATGCTTGCGCAACTATTGCAGCTATTTTAAATTGACATTACCAGTATTACGATGAATGAGTGAGATGTAGCAAGGCAGGTGGTTGCCCGTGAGGAACGAAAGTGTGCGTACCGATGCTTTACTGACAAAAATTATCACCATATTTGACATCACGGACATCGCGCACCTCCAGGAGCCCTGAGAGCCTCCAAACGGCAATCGTTTGCTCACAATACCTGAATGCGACTGTTTCCAAAGTCGACGACGACGATGCGACCGTCAGGCGTGACGCAGACACCGGACGGCCGGTCCATCTGGCCGAGGGCTGTGCCGTTGTTGCCGAACTTGCATAGGAAGTTTCCGCTCGGCTGGAAAATCTGTATGCGGTGGTTTCGCGAATCGGCGACGATCATGTTGCCCTCCTGGTCGACGGCGACGCCCTGCGGCCGCATGAACTGCCCGTTGGCACTGCCCTCCTGGCCGAGGAAGCGTGCTGACTGGAAGTCGGGCTGGATGACGAGCAGCCGGTGGTTGTTGAAGTCGGTGACGATCACGTGGCCGTCGCGGTTGAACGTGACACCGCGCGGCGAGTCAAAGTGCTTCCAAAGGGCACCCTCAAAACCGTACTTGTTGATGAACGCGCCGTCGGCCGAGAACAGCTGGATGCGGTGGTTGCGCGTGTCTGAGACGAGGATCTGACCGTTGGTGTTCACGGCGACATCCCACGGGTAGTTGAACTGGCCGTTCTTGCTGCCGCGCTCGCCGAACTTGGCGATAAACATGCCCGTGAGCGTGAACAGCTGAACGCGATGGTTGTCCTTGTCGGCGACGACGATGTGATTGTTGAGGTTGCACGCGACGCCGGCCGGTCGGTCAAACTGACCGCTGTGAGTGCCCGGCGAGCCAAATTTATGCAAGAATTTCCCATCGGGGTGAAAAACCTGTAATGTGTAAGAGCAGAAGCAGTTTAGCGTATGTCGTAGACAGGTGAGTTAGGCAGAAATGAAAGCAGTTATCCAGTTGTACTATCGTACCGTAGCTACCATCGTACTACTGTCACTGTTAATTATGCAATGCCCTGAATAAATATTGAACTGGCAATGCAAGCCCATATATGTAACTTGTAAGTCAGCTACGGTCCCACACTCATTACTTGTCATTGGACAGCTTTAACCAAGTTTTAAACCACTACCCGGTGATTTCACCGAATCTAATGAACATATAATTTCGTAATCACGCTAACACATACGGAAGCTTCCTTTAATACAAAGCAATATCAGCAGACTGGAAATATTGATTATTCAAGCGATATTGCTAGATCAAAACATTTAACTAGTATAACCATAAGAACTAACCAAAGAAGAGCCGGAGAGCGACTGGGCTCATCTGAGGTCCGTTGCTACGTACGGTTATAAACGAAACATTTCAGTCGTGCGTAGTGAGTCTAGTGACACCTCTGTTAGGCGCAGATATGCAGATACGCAGTTGCGTACACATTATTTCAGCAAACATTTTTTTTATTGCAGAGAGAGCGAGAGAGAGGAAGAGAGAGAGGGGGGCGAGAGCGAGAAAAAGAAAGAGAGAGAGCGAGAGAGCGGGCGAGAGGAGAGAGAGGGAGAGTCAGTCAGACTAAATTGTTTATAAACAAATAACACCCACGCGGCGCGCTACTGTATCAGTTACGTCATCAATTGAAATGTACATTCCGATATCGCCGCGCGGCGTCCAAACTTTTCGACGAAGATGGCGGGCAGACGCACGTATAACGTACAGATTTCTTCAATGTCAGGGAGGATCAACACATTTCGACTGACAGTCAAGAGTCAACCATCGAGCTCTGCAGCCACTGGCAGCAAGAACAAGCCCGCACGTACAGCACACACGCGGCGGCCATTGACTATATATATATATACTACTATGAACAAAATATGCTCATGTTTGTATACATTTGTATTTTTATTCACATCAAACTCGTACGATAAAAATGTAGTGAAATCGGTACCAAATCGCTGTCTTACTCCTTTGTCATTATTAGCTCCTGGTACCATCAAACACAGTTCAGTCCTTTGTTAACAGTCAACAAATCCATGTTTAACCCTCCTCTTGAGGGTCAAAAGGTTATCAGACACTTACTCTTCGCACAGCAGTGGAAAGCACATTTCATGGTCCTTTCAATAAAGTGATAAAAATGGTAGGTAACCGCTGAAACAAAAAAGTTTTTCACTCTGTCCATTAAACCATGTCCTCAGAAAATGTCTGATATCTGACCTCTCCCCCACTGCCCTTTGACCTGTGACCTCCAATTTCGCACTTGTGATAGGTTTCCTGCCCATTGCACTATACACCGAATATTAATAGCATAGGTCGAGCCGTTCAGATTTGTGCAGCAATTCCGTATTTCCTCCTATAGCTTAAGTTGAGGGGGAAATATTCCCCTTCCGTTGACACATCTTGACCTTTGACCCCCAAATTGGTCATCCCGAGTCCTTTTCACGACCCCCCTCCCCGACGTCCCGAATATCGTGACCGTACGTCGATCGGTTAAGATTTGTGCCCAACTGTTGACAGACACACGAACACATGGACGGACGGACGCTCATGCGATTCTACAAGCTGCATCTGACTTCGTGAGATGAGCTAACAAAGAGTTCAAGAATCGCTGCCATAATGTCTTGGTGTCGACATCTGTGAAATACAGACCTGGGTCAGCTTTTTGGTGCACACATCCACTGCACTAACCAGCGTAACTTCGCGACTCAGTCATTGTTCGATGCCATTAGGCTATACTCGATGATATCGCATGATCTCACTCACCTGAATGCGGTTGTTGCTGCGATCTGCCACAACGACGTGCCCATACTTGTCCGTGCAGATGCCCCACGGCCGACACAGCTGTCCGTCCTGGTCACCCTCCTCGCCAAACTGGAACGCGTCCTGACCGACCGACGCGTACGTGCGGCCACTGCGCACGCTCACCGCAAACGGGCTGCCGTGGATGTGGTTGCCGCGGATGGTGACGTGCACGCGGTGCGCGCCCTCCATCGGCGGGCAGTAGGTGATCACGTAGGAGCCATTGTGCTGGTCGCACACGTCGCCGCTGTAGACGCTTGCATCCGGCGCCTCGCACAGCACGTTGATCGGGTCGCCGCCCATCGCGCGCGCGTCCCCGTAGTGATCCTTCGCGTGCACGACAAACGTCGCGACCTTGCCGCGCAGCGCCGAGCGCAGGCCCTCGCCGCTCGCGAGCGCGTTTGGGGCGTAGGCGCCGCTGCTCACCGTGCCGAGCGAGCTGACGGCGTTGTAGAGCGCGGCATCGGGCGGCGTGAACGCGATCGCGTCGTCCTCGTGTGGCTGCAGGTGCGCGGCGAGCGCCTTCACGCGCTTAACGGCGGCCGCAATCGCGTCCCGCGCCGCCAGCACGTCAACTTCGTCGCCGTCGGCGAGCGCGCGCCGCGCGTCGTCCGAGGCGCGCGCGACGTGCGCGAGCTGTGCGCGCAGGCTGCCAAGCTGTGCGCGCAGCGAGCGACCCTTCACCTGCCGCACGCGCTCGATGCGGCACAGCAGGTCGCGCTCGCGTTCGACGAGAGCGGCGACGTGCCGCCGCACGATGGCGCGCACCTCGGCGGCGGCGGCCTGCGCGCGCGCCTCCACGCGGTCGGCCATCATCGCTGCGCCGCGCGCGCCGTCCTCGATCGCGCGTGCCCCGCCAGCGGCGTCCGCAACAAGGCGCGCGGCGGCAGCGCTCGCCTCGGCGACGGCGTCCTGTAGGTAGACGAAGCTGTGGCCGCCGTGCGTGCTCACCGTGCAGTCGCCGCAGATTGCCGCCGCGCACGTCTCGCAGTACAGCCGCAGGACCTCGCCGTCGTGTGCCGCGCACGTGCGTGCGCGTCGCCGCGACGACGAAGACGACCCTGACGACTCCACTGCGAAGCCCCGCGAGGGGAGGAGATCGGTCGGTCGACCGCCGCTGCTGCCGCCGCCGTCGTCGTCGGCGAGCGAGACGATGTAGTGCTCCTTGCTCGTGCACGTGCGCACGTGCGCGCACACGCAGCCGCCGCACATGTACTTGACGCAGTCCTTGCAGAGGTAGTCGGCGCCGCGGCCGTCCGCGCAGGCGTCGCAAGGCCGGTGGCTGCTGCCGTTGTGCACGCCGGCGAGGTTGAGCTGGCACTTCTCCAAGCCGTTCTGCAGCTCCTCCTCGTCATGCGCGTCGACGCCATGCAGCAGGTTGAGGAAGCCGGACGGAAGCGCATCGATTCCTGAGCCGCCGATCGAGAATTCGCAGTTGCACATCGGGCAATCACTGTGACTTCGGCTACCTGAGTTACTCGTAAGCTGCACTCTTTCAAGGCACTGTCTACAAAACGCATGGTTGCAAGTTAGTTTCTCTGGATCCCTGAGCGGCTGGATGCAAATTGAACATATACCTTCATCTGTAGGCATTGCATCTGATGGAAATGCTGCTGCCATTTTTAGGCACACACAGGTGTGATCTCAACATGAGGCACCATTTTGCCAATAAATGAACAACATTGGCCTCATAAAGAGCATACAATTAAGTCACAGCAACCTGGCTGACTCCCACCACGCTTCCTTGACTTGGAAACCTATTTGAACAAAAAGGTCACTTGAGATTTTTACTTGGGTCATGTAACTTAAATTTATGCAGAGCAGGAGTATAGCATATTTTATGGGTTCATACAGTGTAGTCTAACATACTATAGTCAAACTTCTATATATAGATGTCACACAAAAGAAACTCCCAAATATGTCATTTACAGACAGGTGTCTGTTCTATATGGGTGGTTTTACTGTATGCAGCCATTGTTATTACATTAGGCCAAAACAAAATATAGGTGTGGTTACAATTTCCCGACCGACACTATTTATTCCCAGCGACCCTAAACATTTTATTGTCAATTTTCTTTAAAATCAAAAATATAATAAAAATAAAAAAATAAAAAAATGAATTGGACAGTTCCTGCTTCAAAAGGCACAACGCACATCTTTCAGACATGGTTCGTAAATAAAATATTTCAATAAAATAAAATGTTTTCCCTACTTACCTACCCTATTTTTTTCGGCTATTTAGGTAACATTCATATACCAAAATAAACTAGAAAGGGCAGTTGTCGCCAACTACATGTATCCCCCGTGTTCTCCCCAAAATGTGTAAGTATACGAAGTTTGGTCGCGCTAGGTCAATTAGGGGCCGAGTTATAGAGCAGTAGGGAAATATGATCAAGGTCAAGGTAAAGGTCAAATAAAGGTCGTAGTGACCTGGTTTTTGGTATGCGACACACCTTCTCCCCAAGATGTGTAAGTATACCAAGTTTGGTAGGCCTAGGTCAATTAGGGTCCGAGCTATAGAGCAAAAGGGAGATATGATCAAGGTCAAGGTAAAGGTCAAATAAAGGTCGTAGTGACCTGGTTTTGGTAGCGCTAGGTCAATTAGGAACCAAGTTAGAGAGCGGAAGGGAAATATGATCAAGGTTAAAGTAAAGGTCAAATAAAGGTCGCAGTGACCTGTTTTGGTACTCTACTCACCTTCTCCCCAAGATGTGTAAGCATACCAAGTCTGGTAGCGCTAGGTCAATTAGGGGCCGAGTTAGAGAGCGGAAGGGAAATATGATCAAAGTCAAGGTAAAGGTCAAATGAAGGTTGTAGTGACCTGGTTTTTGGTACGCGACACACCTTCTCCCCAAGATGTGTAAGTATACCAAGTTTGGTAGCGCTAGATCAAGAGCGGAAAAGAAATATGATCAAGGTCAAGGTAAAGGTCAAATGAAGGTTGTAGTGACCTGGTTTTAGGCTACTGTGGCACAGTCAGTATTATGCGCGTGTGTGTGCATGTGTTTGTGTTGTGTGTGCGTGTTTGTGTGTGTGTGTGTGTGTGTGGTGTGTGACGCCGTGTGCTTTTATGCTGTATGCGGGGTTGGGTGGGGGGCTCGCGGGTGTTCAAACGCCATCTTTGGACCGACGGGTTAATATGGTATATATTTATACTTAAATTATATAGGCCTCCATTACACTGACAAGCAGAATATTGTTGGACTACTTATCCTATATTGCAATGCTGTTGCATCTTAAATAATTTATGCATGAAAAGGTGCATAATTTCATTTAATTAGGGCTCGTCATTGGTATCAAATTATTTCGATTCGATTATTGATATTTTTTTTTTCTCGATATTCGCACTCCGATTCGATCCGCCATTAACGATTTAAAATTGTAATAAAAATGAGCCGTGAGTTCACAGTAAACCTCAATTATTGATGATATCTACATAGATATACATATTATAATCGTGCTGCTTAAATCAAATAGGCGACAGTAGATATTTATCTGAATTCAACCAGCTATTGACCTGGCGTCGCCGGCGATGCGAAGCAAGCAGACATGCTTTCTTACAAAAAAACGACATTTTTTGAAAAAAAAAAAAAAAAAATAAAAAAAAAAATCGCGAATCGCCTATTTTTCGATTTATTTCGAATCGATATCGGACGCAGAATCCATGCGATTGATCGATGAGGTGTGGCATCGATGACAGGCCTACATTTAATAATTTCATTTTCTTTAGCTTTTGGCAGTTTTTACCCGATCTTGGATCATCTTCAAATTTGGGCCATGAAGGTGCATTGGATGGTAAAAGCGAAAGACGCCAATTCGTTTTTTGGTGTGGGGCGGAGTCATCGTTTGCCATTTGGTAAACAATATTTTTGTGGGAAATATTGTAGAACCTGTAACTTGTGCTGTTTTTACCGATTGTCATGGAAATTTGGCACACAGTCCGATATAACATGTCCTATATAATAATTTTATAATAATTATATTATATATATATATATATATATATATATATATATATATATATATATATATATATGTATATATTGGTCCTGTGTGCCAAATTTTATGCCAATCGGGTAAAAACTGCAGAAGTTACAGGTTCTAGAATATTTTCTGACAAAAAATGTTGTTACCATGGCAACGATGACTCCGCCTACACCAAAAACGATTGGCGTCTTTGCTTTACGATAACGCACCTTCATGTGAAATTTGAAGATGATCCGAGAAGAACTGCAGCCGGTAGAGCGCTCACAAGGAAATCTCTGTGGTGGCGGCGGCGGCGCGACGAGGCCAAATCTATAGTATCCCCACAATTTATAGTGGAAAATTAACTTGAATATGTAGCCACCGCCACCCTTAAAAAATTGTTTGTTTCCCCTTTACCTACTCGCCTCTCAGGGTACTGAGTAGGTAGGTAGGTGAAAAATCTTTTTTATTTTGTTTTGACAAAATGTGTGTATGTATATTGTATATTCTGTTTTGAGTATATGTTTTTGCAGAATGAATTTGATTTTTTTTTTGGCAAAACGAAATAATTTTTGTTTTGTTTTAATCGGCTAATAAAATGTGTCGAGTAGCTGCGTTTTGGAGAGTCGGTCGGTAAAGGGGAAACAAGCAATATTTTATCTTAGGCCCAATCTTATACATAGAAATGCCAAGTTAAAACATGTGATACTGATGGACTGCACTATGAGGAATAATCTTAATGCAGTTGAAACACATGTAAAACCCACATTTAACTGGTGGAGGGTACAGTACACCAGACCGAAAGTCGATGTCATTGCTATGTACGTGTGATAAATAACTCAGCACACCAACACGATTAGCCCAGTCGCGACCCTAATCAAACCTTCTGGATTAAACCCTAGAGTTGACGCAATAAATGTTCTTATTTAGCTGACGCTTATTTTCAGATCTGGTTGTCGGGCAACAAGTTCTAAGCAATTTTTAGTTGTCCAAACTTTGATTTTACTTGTGAAAAATTTATTTGCAATCTATGAGCTGTTAATGTCCTTTTTTGTTGAGTGCATATCATATTACAGTATATACATGGAAAATCGTAATGAAATTCACACGTTTATTTTTTGCGTGCTGGCACGCTCATTGTGTCATTCCCGATTGCAGCTTTTTTCACAATTCCGAGAAAGAGTTTTGCTGTCACTCTCCCATCCCAGTGATGCCCACCCCCTACATATTCAGTAATGAACATGCCCCACGCAGCTCAAACAATCGTGCCCCCCCCCCCGGTACATCAATCAATGCAGCCGCAGCCAGGCACGCCACAATGTGCGGGCTGGCTCTCTATTAATAAATCTGCAATGGTAAAAGTGGGTGACAGGTGTTGCGGGATGCTTTTTTCGGCGACATTTGAAAATAAAACGCGAGATATGGCGTGCGATCACGCCTTGGCTCAAAGGATGTTATTGAATATTAAGCAACTAGAATTTTGTTGTTGTCGGATCGGGCAACTAGCCAAGAGAATAACTTGTCCGACATAGACTTTCATTTGTCCCGGGCAATCGAGTGTCGAGGGCTATTATTCACCTGAATCGGTATTTGTGTCAACTATAATAAGTCATATACCTACATCATTCTCAGTATCAGTGTAATTGTGCTTCCAAATGTGACTAGATTACTAAGGAGTTAAGATAATACATTACAACAAAATTCTGAAGAAGTCCAGTATTTTGTTCCTCGATCAATACCCTCTCAGCCCCACACACACCATCCTCCAGGTCCCTGGTCTGATCTGATGGTGAGATCATCATCATCATCATCATCATCATCATCCTTGTTTATTTGTTGACACAGAACTAAATTAGATGTTTAGATGTTTTAATTTGGTCTCCTTACTTTATTTTAAAACTCAGTTGAAAAATGTCTAAAATCTAAAGTAAAGGCCTGGGTAGAACATGTCATCAGTAAACTCACTGTGGCTCATAGGGTCTATGTCCTCCAGGGTACTGCCGGAACGTACCCTGGGTACAGTCCGGTATACCTGAACGTACCCTGATAACTATTTGATATGGTTAGGGTTAGGGAGTAGGCGTAGGCAACTTCCTAGACTCGTTAGTGGAATAGGCAAGGTACGGTCCGGCATATTAGATAGTACCAGGGTACGTTCCGGTATACCGAACCGTACCCAGGGTATGTTCCGGCAGTACCCTGGGGGACGTAGACTCTCTCAGCCTCACTGGGGCAGTATCCTACATCCCACACTCCAGCAGTGTCTATGTGCAGTGGTCCTAAAATAGTATATAAACACTTAACTATAATGTAATGGGTTGTCTGATTAAATACGGGAAGGAGATGGTCCAATGCAGTGTGGCTGTGAGTGTGTCACTGTGTGTAACATACAAATTTGAGGGAGCCTGCAAAACACATTTGTTTACACTGCACGGTATGATAAACAGTTCAACTAATTACTAATAAATTAATACTAAGTTGGCATTACTGATAGTACTAGAACAAGTATAATTGGTTAAATAAACTGGTTCATGCATAAAATGGTTACAGGGAACAAAAATCTAGGCCTAGATTCTAAGATGGCTGACATCAGAGGGTGTCAACATAAAATTGCCTTGTTTTGGTTGTCAATTTTTCTTAATTCCCCAAATCCAGCATAGGCTAACTAATGGTAAATTCGTATACAACGGTTTATTCATAAACGCGGCCAAAAATAAACACGCAACCAATGTTCGATTACAAATACTTACGTTTAGGGTTGAGACCTTTCGTTACCAAAACCTCAGTACGGAGGCTGACATCTTGTGTGTTACTAACGCAAAATCTCGCGAGAAAATTTCCGCCAAGTCTGAGCTAATCTGAGAACTCATTGCTCAACAAGAAGTTGTCAACACATACACACACTGGTGACACAGGAGCAAAACCCGTCAAGACTCGTTTGAATATCGAAGTGATATACAACCTAGCACGATTATGAAATATACAGTGGCCAAGACCCTCAACGTTTGACTGCTAGTGTGCAGCGCATCATTATACGGTTGATTACGAGACGTGCTGATGAATTTGCGGGACCCACGACACGGGCACGATTCAAGATTCACAATTCACGATTCACATTGACACTGTGACTGTGACAGTCTGTGTAATGACTACTCACTGTACACTTTGCCATCATATGTAGGCTACTGTACTGTAGGCTATAGTGTACACTAAGTGACACTGTACGCCACGATTTTTGCAGAAGTTTGAGTGTAGTCTCATACGTTCAGACAAAATGCGATTGGTGTTGAAGTACTAGGCCCTACTAATACTATAACTAATTTAACTATACGTATAAAAGTAACTAAAACTAGTAAAAGCAAGTTAATAGTATACGGCCCAACAACACTAAACGGGTAACAGAGCAAAATCGAGATGTCTAAATGTAGCTCACAGGTTGAGAATGGCTGTGACTTCGTCGGGATATTTATGAAGATGCTGGAAAATCCTGGCAGTGACTCAGGGAGGTTACAGTCACAGTATGCGTCATCTGAAATTGTGACACCGTCTGTTCAGGGTTCTGTATCCCGAACTCCACTATGTTCAGATATGCCGCTCTCAGTTCCTAATACACTTATGGAAATTACACCATGCAAAGTAGCTGAGTGCCACCGGATTTCTATAAGGACACCAATGGAAGAGCTGAATCACACTGGGAATGGAATGGAAGCAAAAACACCACTTTCTGTATCACCGAGAAAAGAGGCAGTCCCAAAACTACCAACCTCACTATCTTTGAGACAAAATACGGTTCCAGTAACTCCACTTTTAACACCTCTAAGACAAGTGGCACGTCTCAGAACATCAGGCTTGATGGAATCGGGAAAAGAGACACATCTGAAAACATCGCTTCCACAGAGACAGGAGGCGATGCTGAGGACGCCAACCTCGCTGGGCCTTAAAAACGAAGCATCCTTGAGTACATGTTTATCTACATCACCGACTTCAGTATCAGCCGAAAATCGAACTCCTGTGTTTGGTGAAACACCAACAACGAGATGTAGAACTAAAAGAAAGTTTCCTGGACCTGCAGGAATGCTGCCTGTATTAGGAAATGTAAATTTATACAGGAAATTATTTGCAGCTTACACTAGTCAGATTTTCTCGGAGTCAGTACTACATGATTGAGAATTCTTAGTTATTTGTTGCCATGAACCTATATATATATACTAGTACAGACATAGTATATATATATGTTCATGATACTGGTATATATATATATGGTATATATATATATATATATATATATATATATATATATATATATATATATATATATATATATATATATATATATATATATATATATATATATGCACATATAACACCACAATGCACATGCAACATTAGGCATATTGCACAAGAAACTGGTATAGTACTGGAATTAAATTTGCAATGTGATTTGCAATGGTACCTTTAGTCATTGGACTCATATCACTAGGGCAGGGCTCGAATTAAGCGACGAGAAGGGCAAGGCAATTTTTTTAGGGCATGTGAGAAATCGCCTTGAATTTTCTCTAAAATGGAAGGGCACAAAGGCAATTTTAAAAGGCACCAAGGCAACTCTCAAAATTTGAGAAGGGCACCAAGGCACTTTTGTAAAATAAAGGAAAACTCATAACAAATTAGTACATCAACATCGTCTTGCTTTTAATGTACAAAACAATATGCCCCCATGTAAGCTTACACCGTAACACTGACCCCTGTACCCCCCCTCTGCTAATGGAAGTAATGGAAGAAATTTTACATGCCCGCTATCAGGAGCTAATAATTATCCGATGCCGTTATTATTCCCTTCTACGACTATCGGTTTTTAGCTCATCATTGCAACTACAGCACGCACGCGCACGTGTTATGTTGATTCGACTAAAAACGAAACTAGGGCAGTAGATTAAAGGGCACCGACGGCAATTACACAAAAGGGCAAGGCAGGTGACTGCCGTCGGTCGGGTTGGATTTTCAGGGGCAGTACGGCGATTGATAGGGGCACCGACGGCAATTGCCGTCGGTGCCGTCGGTTAATTCGAGCCCTGCACTAGGGTGAGGTCAGCCATGATCTTGTTTGGTGCATTTTTGGTATCATCATGAACATATCTATACCATACCATACAATTTAGGTATGTTCATTGTATGAAAAATAGGGTCTTATATCAGGGTTAGAAATTAACCTTTTTTCCAGGCAGCAAGCATTTACTACCATAGACAAAAAAAAACAGGGAGCAAACTTACTCACTTGGGCAAAAATCTGAGAAAACCATAGCAGTTCCACTCCCTCTCACCATAACATTACTGTGCTATTGCATCTGTTCATATGGAAGCTGGTTTGGCCCCTTCTAGCCCTGTTTTTCCTGATTCGTTCATTCTAAATATAGTCATCCTAGTGATGTCACGATCATCGATTATACTCGATCATCGGTTGAACAGTGGCTCGAACCAAGCGCCTAGTGATGTCACGATCATCGATTATACTCGATCATCGGTTGAACAGTGGCTCGAACCAAGCGCTTGGTTATTAAAATCCATAATCGATTTCATCGGAGAAAAAAAAAATCGAAATAAATGTAAAACTTGAACAAGAAAACTGGGAAAGGTGATGAGAATCAGAGATATCATCGCTGCTATACAAGTTATCCTTTATTAACATACATGTATTATACACACAGTAGTAAACAGGGCAAAACAAGCAATAAACAGGGCTAAACATGCACACACGTACATGCAGACGACGTTACGCACACGCAGGCATTCAACACCCCGAGTAACCGATTGTAACCGAGCATCGGTTACTTGGGTCCAACCGATGATCGATTACGAAATTACAACCGATTGACAACAGTCTCATCCATCCTTAATCCAACTATTAACCTCAAATTAAGTATGAGCAGTTACGTAGGGTCAACGCGGTTTAAAAAATTGACAACCCTGAGCAACTGGCCATCGATTTAACATATGTTACTTGTAACTTCTGTGCTCTTACTTTGGTTCATGAGGAATTTTTGACAGCAAGTACTTGGTGCCGACATTGAAAGCAGGCAGCAAAATTGCTGCTTGCTGCCCTTAATTTCAAACCCTGTTATACATATGTTTATATATATATATAATTACAAAAAATAATGAATTATTTGTTTGGTTTTTTAAGCCATTCGGGTCACCCAAGAATGAAATCGACATTACAGTGGGATGTTCTGGTGAAAAGTCTCCAAGGAATCATCTGAAGGTGAGGCTTATATAGTTTCCATCAATATGGCTATTAGGTAAATTTCCTCCAATTATAAATATATATTCTGTGAAAATAAATTGGCATGTATGAAAATGTGTGTTGCTGTGATGCAATGCTACAAATCCACGAATAAGGATTTGGTTGTCATAAATCCCAACGTTTGGAGTGCTTGTGGTCATATATTGGCAGGGTGTGGTTTGAATTGTCTTAGCTTCAACATCTTGTAATGTGTAATGGGTAATGTGATTCACATATTCTATTTCAACTGTAATGTCGTACAGGAGACCATATGCACTCAGACTGGCGATGAAGACTTTGCAGAAGAGTTATGGCGTGTGATGCAGAAAGATCTAGAAAATGAGCAGGCAAGCTCCTTGTCACACTTCAGATTATCCTGGGTACAGAGGAAGGTATGAGCAATTACTATTTCTAATCAATGGTCTGCATGTTTACCAGTGGTATTGCACCATACTACTACTTCAGTAATTCTAGATTCATGCCTTTATCATGTTTTTAAATAAGACAGCTGTTCGCTTGTTTGTTTGTATGTTTTTTTATATTATATATATCTATATAATCAGCACAATGTCTGTTTGCATCTATTCATGTCTTTGTGGCTTATAGAACTTCTCCTTTACGACTGGCCTGATGTCAAACTAGTAGGTCCGCTTGGATACTTGGTAGGTGCCTGGGATAGTTCTTTGCAAAAAAGTTTCATGTAAGAAGCCTAACTTTTCATAAACGTAAAAAATTGGTTGGCCAACCTACATAATGTGTTATTTATTGAGTTAGTACATTGACGAAAGTGCGAAACACAAGCTTGCGAGCTCCTTGCCATCAGTAAGTTAATAACTAACTAATTGGTTGGCTAATATAACATCATGATCAGTTGCTAGGCAATGTTATAAACTGTAGTTCGTATAGGTTTGGTACTTGACAATGGTAGGTCTACATGGGTGATCAGTTAATTAGATTGTTTGCTTGCATGGTCGCTGGTGAACTACGGAGGCAGAAAAATTCAAGAACGTTTAATCTGCAAATCACAGCAAATATTAGAATGTAACAATGCCAGTTAAAATATATGTATTCATCTCTATTTATCTTTGCTATCAATGACATCAATGTCTATATGTGCATATGTGTGTGCGTGCATCCATGCGTGCGTTTGCGTGTGTGCGTGTGCGTGTGCGTGTGCGTGTGCGTGTGTGTGTGTGTGCGTCTGTGTGTGCATACACGCGTGTGTGAATGGCTTGCACATATGTAAACTCACTTTTATAATTTTTAGGCAACCATGAAGCAACTTCCTAAAGGAAAGGTACCATTCTTGTGCGTAATTGTGAAATCTGTGACATTCACTGGTGCAGATGCCATCATAGTCGTAAAAGATCCTACAGGTGAGTTACAGAAGATAATTCGTCTGCTACGTGAGGTTTCTACAGAAGTTCAACTTCATATATTAACTGTGTTACCATACTTTAAGCAACAGATTTTCGATTAAGAGAAAAGAAAGCATCATTTATTTGATAATTTATGTGAGATGGAAAGTATAATATCATTCAAGAAAAAAAAATCATTCAAACATTGGTGAAACATTACTAATGCTAATGTATGCAGCCCATTATGGAAGTTGCCGTCTGTCTCACACAATTCACCTATATAAGCACCATATTTTATAACAAGCTAGGTTAAAGGGACTATAGCTCACTCTATATAGTACTAGCATTTTTGTCATAAAATATAAACTGGAGATTGTATAGTTATATATTATAATATATATATATATATATATATGATTATACAAATATATAATTTTATACTTCTATGGTTAAGTTATTGCAATATACTTTTGACAGGAATCCGTTGTTTGTAACGTAGTAGTTGAGTAATTCATATTTGCTTGCAGGAGAGATGCAGGGCACAGTCCATAGACAGGTGATGGATGAACATGAGATGACATTCAAGGGAGGAGCTGGTGTCTTTCTGAACCAGGTATGCATGGTCTAGATTCTAGAACCTCATCTGCAGAATGATGAATATATAATATGTGTGTGGAAATATATTGCTAATGGGATGCTTACTGTATGTAGCCATCAATAAGTACTTGTAGATTTCATTCAGTTCTTGCATGGGCAGTGAATTCTGTGTTTGGTGGGAGATTAGATTTTTTACATATATGCGATACAATCTTATGTAGAAAACATTATATTTCAGTGTGGAGTCTTCAGTCCTTCTCCAAGAAGTCACTATTTAAATATCACCTCTAGGAATCTACTACGAATATATGTGCAAACAGAGGACAGCAAGGTTTCATCTCACAAAGTATTGCTTTATTCATTGTTAGCTTTTATTTTTTTTGCAGTAAAAGTAAAGCCAACAGTAAATTATGTAGATATTAAATATTGTAATTTCTTTTAGTTATTTTTAGTTTCCTTGTGTTTCCATTATTACTGAAAGCAATTTTCTTGCTATTTTCAGTTATCCCTGAATTGCCTTAATACTAAACATTCGCAGCTTATCCTGTTTACTTCATTATCAGAAGTAGATGATCTATTGTACACTTCCTATATAAAGGTAAAATTGTGAAGTAAATCTACTAAAGATTCTATGTTGGTAATATTTTGTACTCCTAAACCAACATTTTCTGTCTTTTTCAGGTATTGCAATTGAGTCTGAAAGATATCAGGGACAGAATCGATTCCCCGGAAAGCACCCAGAACCCCATTAATGTCACCAAACTTCATCACACACAAAAGAAATTGGTGGGTGGGCAAGAAGGCTCTACACCGAACATCCGTAATGTTGCACCCGCAGAAACACATAAGCTTGGTCATGAAGCAAGCTACTCTCCTAAGTTCACACCACCTGGAAAGCAAGATCCGACTGTGATGTCATCACTTACGTATAAAGCAGGTCAGAAAACAGAAGCACAAACGAATTCTAAGCGAACAACTGCTGTATACAGCCCCGTTACTAGTTCTCCACGCAATGTAAATTGGCAGGTTCGAACTCCCGCGCCAGCTGGTAGTAGTGAATCGGCCGACTATCGGGCAACACAAGGTGATGGTGGTATTATTTCTCAAAAGATGGCAGCACGCGTCATGAATTCGCCCATCGCTCGACCGGAGGAGCAGCCGCATGGTACTGGTGATGGCAAAAGTGTAACGGAGTTGATAAGCGGCATCGAAGATGAGCTGTTTGGCGATTTTTAATGAAACTCGGATATAAATTATTTAATGAGGTCTCTAATGCATGTATGCTACTAAGCACCCGTCTGCCATTTTGTGCACGAATGCACAATGGTAGTAATCTACTAATCTCACCATCTTTGTTACATATATTCTTAAATTTTACATGCATGCAATAGGATTAGCTAAGCAAAAATGCTACATGTATATTACCAGTGAACTGGTTCCAATCATTATGCCGGCTTTGATTTTGTGCTAAAATATCGTGTTCAGATATTGAAAAATCGCGGATAATCATTCTATGTACAGACATGTAGATAGTCTGATGTATAAGTATAACTCTTGTATAATAGATTTATTTAGAATTGCTTCACAAAATTATAAGCAAGGAAATATGTACACATAACTTGATATTTAAAAAATGTAAAAAATCAGTACATGTTATACGTTTACCAGAGTTGTTACCATAAAAATGTTCATTTGGAATCGATCTCCGCTGGTTTAATAGTAATATGGGAAGCAGTTTATTTGTTTTTATCACATTGCTTTGCTATGAGCAGTTTTTGTCGTTTTGTCACTTGATTGCAAAATGAAAACATTTTTGCATAATATTATAGTAGGACAAAGAAATTTACCTCTGGTTTTCATTGTTTTACTATTTTTGTTTTGTGCAAAATACACTCACAAAAGAAGTGAAAAACGAATATATTTGTTTTAAATAATAGTCAGTAAAGGAACGTTTTCCTAATACACAACACAAATATTACCAAAGCCACATACATATCAGGAGTGAATAAAAGCAACGTTTTTTATTCATTCTGGTAAATGTGATTTTCTCACTTGCTATGCACACTAACCACGCACAAAAATATATAAAAATGGCAAATTTTATATTCTAATGTTTACTACCAGTAGGATTTTAAAGAGTATGTGTATTTGTTTCAATAATAGTGGAAGTACACGATATCATATATCGTATATATATATATATATATATATATATATACTATCGATAGTATTGTATAGTAATTGTTGTTTTTAGTAATGTCTTAATAATACTAATAGTCTATAGGTTAACTTCCTACGCTACAACTA